GTGGCCACCGGGTGGCCATGATATTAGGCCGTATGTATAAGATCAAGGCCGTGAGTTGAAAATTCATAGATAAAATGACTGCGTATTTACATCGTCACATATTACAATGTACATTAAAGAATTATACATAGGTTATCACAGAGTCTGGTAGTTTGGAAATGTGCAATGGACATCGAATTATTCATAACATCAGACAAAGGGTGTAATGTCAATTCTGTACAATGAATAGTTCACAATGTTAACTTCGATCAGTTATGCAAACATACACACTCATTAATATACTCCATTATAGATTTAAGAAAAACTCAGCAGTTGCAGAAACACTGATGAAAAAAGTGTGTGTGGGCTCATGCACATGCGGATTTGTGCGTGTGTGTATGCGTGCTACAAAGGTACTCAGGAGGAATGAATGAACCCTATCATTGTATTATATAACACGCTTGATTGGCTCCCAAACTTTGATATGTCCATTTAGCTATAAAAGCCTTACATGAAAGAAGTAATTAATGATTTATTGATTCTGTGTTGTCCTTAAACTTCAATACCTCAGTTACACTGACGTGACCAGATGACACGGACAAAAAAAAATACATCACCCCGAATAGCCAAGGGTTAGTCGATTCGGAGTTAGTTTTGTGTTGATTTGGCGGTGTGACTGGTGTATAAGCATGGTTAGTAAGTGCAGTTGCTATAGATCGAATCGAATTCGGTAGGAGCTGACGGCTCTGGAATATTTTGGTCAATCGCATCATAACCTTCCTCCTTGCCAACATTCCTATAGTCCAAGTTCGCGTAATCGTCTTCCGTTTTAGAGCCACCGCTGGAAAGACCGCCAGTATTCTCATAGATAGGTTGTTCTTCATCCAACGAAATCTGGAGGCCAAACTGATTTTCGTAGACGCCTTCAGCCTCAGGGATCTGTCCATTTGATTTCGTCTCGTATTCTTCATCCGCAGAATATGGTGTGTCATCTTTCTCAAACATCTTCAACGTCTTCTTCGATGTTCGGGATGCAACGCATCTGCCTTGTCGTCGGCTACCATGTATTTCAACGTGACCACCGTGTTGTGTAGTCCCTTCTTTCTTCCCAAAATCTTGACAGCTTTTAGATTTCGATTCTCTGGTTTTACGGCCATTATTTTCCAAAGGACCTAATTGCCCACCTGTGTGCATTCGGGATTCTGGTGCCCACCCGTCTACATCAGATTCCATTTCAGTTAAAGTACCATACACGTTGTCGTTATACATGGTGTCGTTTGCTGGGTCAGACAGATGCGAGGGCCTTTGAAGATCTAGAGCACCGTATACGTTCTTTCCAGTTTCCTCATCTGCTTGTCCGAATGAACTTTGGAGAGATCTTTTTGAAAGCCGTGATTTTAAGTCCGAGGGCGACCTAAAGTTCAATGAATCATATTCTTCTTCATCATGGAGAGTAATGTTCCTATCCATACTTTCACCGTTACCTTTCTGTTTGTATATCAAGCGATTCCATCCGAGCTCCCGGTCTACCGTATCACTTTGAGGGGCGATGTCATCATTCTGGCATTGATGGATGAATTCATCATCAAGTTTAGTCAGTCCGGATTCGCCATTAACTGGCGTTGAGGATCTTTTTAGGCACTGTCGTGTTCGAGAGCTGCGTTGCGATTCCCTTGCGGAGCTTTCTGCAACGTCAGGTCCGTTAAAGGAAGTTTCACCAACTTCTTGATAATCAGCAAAGTTATCATCTTCACCATCCGCCACTCGCGATTCAAGCGTGAAATATGCAGGCGTTTCTATGTCATCATCAGGTGACGTAGCAGGGTTGTTAAAGTCATTTCTATTTAATGACACGCGTGTGTCATAATTGGGGATTGCTTTAGCCACTGCCTCATATTCTTCGCAATTCTTTCCCTGGGCTGGATTCGCGGCGAGAGGATTGTATGGACCTGGAATCGGACTAGATATCTGGGTCTCATGCGACGCGTTGCAGGGTAAAGACATCCCACCAACGGCACCGTCGAAGCGGTTTCGACCATCGTCTAATTCCTCATATTCGTTGTCAAGAAAAGGCTCTGGTATGGGACAAATTGTTTCAGGTCTCATGTATGTATTGGGCCTACTCGATGAAGCATGGTGACTTGTGAGGAGATCTGGAGTAGGAGGTTGGTGATTCAATGCTCCGGAGTCTCGGCTGTTACCCCTACCATTGTTGTCAGCATGTGATACCTGTGGGCGAGTCCTTTTAGATGATGACCTATTGGTAGGATAACAGGTATTGGAAATAAAACATCGAGTTTTTATGCGCTGTAATATAAAGTGTTACTTATTATCACTGCGTACACATTTAAATGATAAGATGTTTCTAAAGGAAAATTTTGCATACGACTGTCGTTGATTTCTTTTGGAGAGGGAATGATTTGTTTGTATTCGCTCCTTAAAATTCCCTATGAAGACAAGGGCCTTGGTTTTGTTAACGTTAAATGTAACGAAAGATGAGGTGTAACGTACACAATGAGACTAATATATTTTCAGATAAAATGTGCATCGCACTATCTTCACCTTTTCCTCCATCTGATGTATCCAGCAACGCACACGCACAGAAGAACTGCCACTGCAACTAAGGAGATTGCCAACACCGGCTGATGAGACCTCGGGCTCTCTGTAAGATTCACAGCGAATTAGAAAGAGAGTGAAAGAGAGAGAGAAAGAGAGAGAGAGAGAGAAAATGAGAGAGCCAATGGAAATAAACTAGGCAGATATGAATGCAAATTCTCAAGGGTGACAAAGTGGACATTGCAAGAGATTACAACGGAAACAGGTTTATTATCTAATCATGTTAAAGGGATTGTGCTTCCCGATGAGCATATCAATTCAGATATTTCTCAGGAATGCTTATAAACATATGAAATTATGAATAATTTTTATTGCAAATCTTTCACTGGTAATGGGAATAAGTCGGTCTCATTTTCGTATCATTTTGCCAGTGATACATAACGCTGTCGGCTCACTGTTAAAAAGTCAATAACGCCATGTTAGTAATGTCATTTTGGCGGTGAGATGACGATGTCATGATAATAATTCACCTATGCTCATTCCTGTCTTATATTGTGTCTTAAACACTTTTAGAAAAAATATTTTGTATCAGATAGTTGCAGGCAACCCCGAACAAGGTTTTGTTAAATCTACAGGGTTCGTCATTCTGTGTCGACCCGTGTGTCTTTGCATACAGGCACAAACTTTCACACCCCTGCATTTATTCCCCTTGCATACGAGGTGCCATCTTGTTTACGTAGGACTGCATCATCGAATGATGTGGTGTTTGTCGGACCACAAGAGAGTAATTTTGGACAAAAAGTGACTGCTAGCTGAGCTGGCCAGATATTTCTGTGGTTTATTCTGTTTAGCCTATACTTTAGCGGACAGGTTTGATTAGCGCAGGTAACGAAGCAATCAAAATGATGCCGAATGTGTAACGTGCCAATTGTTTTCAACTCACTTTTCGAAGCTGATCCAACTTTTGTTGACGAAGAAGCAGGCTTAGCAGTTACAGTGGTTGTGTCGGATGCATGAGAAGGTATGTCGCTCGTTGACGCAGGTGTAATAGGTTGCCCTTGCGTTGTAGTAGGATTCGTCGTCGAAGTCAATGTTGTTGGCACTTTGAGAGTTTAGAAAATAAAATGCAACGTTATCGGAAACAATTATAGCAAATGGGTATTTGGGAGGGGGCTTTGGGGAGGGGGGGGGGGGGGGAAATTGTGCCTGTCTGGTCAAAGCCAACCAAGTCGAGTATAAAATAGAAAATGTACCCTATTTCTGCAACGCAACTAATTGAGACCCGGAAAGATAAGAGAAACAGTGAACACTTTTTTGGAGGGGTATATGTGTGGTCGTGTGTGTGCGTTTATGGGCGTGTAGTTGTGTGTAAGTGTGTTTTTTTTTGCCCCCCCTACCAGAGAATGCTGGATGTTCTAAATATTATCATACGACGAATAGGATTTGCAAGTAAGTTATATCCGTCATCATGCATGTTCCTTCACAACATACTTAAAGAGGTATGTATGTGTGTGTTCGTTTGGGGGAAAGCGTTGGATATGAGGACCTTTTAACTGATAATGTTATCATTTCAAGCAGAGGCACAGTAGTTCGCGATATAATGAAAGGGAACCTCACCCTAAAAAATAAAAATAAGTGCCCGTTGATGTACAAAACCCCTTAAGAAAATGTACGAGAGAAATAAATAACCAATGAAGACATTCTTGGCATGATGTGATGTCTTTTAGCATGAAATGGGTGCAGTCATTTTCTTGAAAATGTGACGTACCAATTGGAGTGGTATGTGTATCCTGCATCAAGCTTTAGTTGGAAAGACGTTTTAAATCAATAACAAAATCTTTAATTTTCAATGAGGAACAATGATAGCAGGAGAAGTTAGAAATTATATTTGGTGAAAAATATATGAGAGGGGAACAATAGTAACTAATTCATATACAAATACTGGAATATATCAGTTGAAAAATCTATTTCAAGAGAAACCTTCATCCCAGAAGAGCACCAACTTATTTATGCAATTGTATGCGTTCTGGCAATTGTAGTACAAAGGATAATAGCATGTGAATGAAATACTTCAACACCGCACACACATGGGAATACTTGATAACGACTTCACAAAGTACGTCACGTTATCAAGAAAATGCTCATGTCGTGCTGAGAAAATTTACAATATTCTTGCTTTATTCTTCTCTCATACATTTTGGTGGATAACCTTGTAGACTAATGGGCAAGTATATAATAAACCTCTTAAAAAATATACATTTTTTTTATTGGGTTGAGGTTTCCTTTAATCATCAATAGATCACTAAATCGGCAAAAGTATATAAGCTGCACGCAATTTAAAAGCCAATTATAGTGGACTAATTTCAGTTATTGTTCAGTCGCAAACTGAAATGTCAAAGCAGTGACCAAAGAATGGAAGGAAGAACAAAAAGAGTAAATACTTTCATGCGCCTTTCGATAAATCTTTACATTTGTGAGATCCTTAACTGACCTGGCACCGGAGTAGAAAATAACGAAATATTGAATCCTGTGTATCTATAACCCCCTTGTAATCCGTCATCACTCGTGAATCGAATCCAGAGAAATGGGCCAAGAGTTGTGATGTTGTGTGATGAATATGTTCCAGAAATATTGGGCCTTCTTAGAGTGGACTCCTCATATACCGATGTCTGCCCCTCATATAGATAGAGAAAGTCCCTAAATGTCTCGACTGAGAAATCGACGAAGTGCACGACAACTTGGTGGTTCTCCGGAGCGATCGCATGCCACATGAGGTTCAGATTGGTGCCATATTGAGCAGGGTAATTAGGTGACTGCAGGTATTCCGCATTCCCGTGGTTTAAATAGATGACTGTGATTTAAAGACAGCAATAAAAGTACATAATAAATAAATATAAATAATTATTAAAAAAAAGATAATTAAAAAAAAGATATTAATAATAAGAAGGATGAAATTGTTGGTATTTTATCTTTGCAGTTTAACATTAAACAAAAATAATATTTTTTCCCTGAATGTGTGAAGAGTGAAATCAGAAGAAAAGAATTAGGCTTTTATTCTAAACAACAAAAATGTATCGCATTCTGAAATGTTAGATACAACCTGTTTTTTTCTCTTTTAGGAAAACAGAACGGTTGAAAAAAACGTTAGCTTGCTCTGATCGTCACATCGGGAAGGTTTTTGAAATTCCCGTTGTGTAAAATATTCCCGAAAGACATCTGTATATATTTCTAAAATCAATTCATTTTATTTTTTCTATTCATTTTTTTACGGATTGCCTAACCTTCAATTGACGGATTTGTGAAAGTACAAACAAAGAGGTTAATATATTGTAATTAATTTCACATGTAGTTTGTTGTATGAAATGTATGGAACTCACCTGGTATTTTTGCATTGAGCAATGCCTGAAAACCTTTGAACCTTCTTCCTTCATTACTGGCGAATCTTATCCATAGGTAAGATCCAATTGATGTAATGTTTTCAGGGATAGACCATCCAGACAGAGACGCCCTCAATGTTGACCTCGAGAAATCCGATGTCCATCCTTCAAAGATGTATACGAAGTCTGAATTCTCCTCAGTTTCAAAACGATGAAATAGAATATGGACTCTGAAGCCTGAAGTCGCTATCACTTGGAAGGCGATGTCGATATTATTGTCATAGTATCCAGGGACGTTTGGAATAGATACGTATTCCGTTTCAATCGTATCTAACATTATAACTGTAGTTTCGATAACAGACGAAAAAAAGTGAACAATAAAATATGAAAACATTTTTTTTAGGAATATCATCATTCTCCTTGAATTACAAGATATAATGTCTGCTCCCCAGTATTTGTTTGATATCTATTACATAATCCTGCACTTATTCGGAAAATTGTATTCACTTAAAGGTCAGGTGGCATTCAAATATAAGTTGGTTCCTGCTGATGTGCAGGCCCGCATACAACTCGTATTTTGTTATCAAAACATCTAAATATATTTGATAGTTTCATTTTTAAAAATAATTTTCTCAGACCTGCTAAGCTCTACCCTTAAAGGCCCGGTCACACAGGGAGGACGCATGGGGAACGCACGGCCAGCGCATTGGAAAATTTGCAATTTTGGCCAGTGCGTTGTCGTGCGCCCAACTTATGTCGAAGCTACAGCGAGCTCACACCAAATGCATAGCGTGTTGCTAGCGCGCTGAGCGCATACAGGGCGCATACAGAGCGCATACAGACCGCACACACATGATAACAACTTCCACGAATGCACCGCGTTCTACGACGCACGCATTGGAAATCGGAAAAGGCCGTTTGCCTAACTTTCGTCATGATTTTAGAAAAGCTAGCTAGCTGACAAAAAAATGTACAGCGTGTAGCTAGCGCGCTGTGCGTATACAGGGCGTGTGCTCCGCGTATGTCAAGCGCTGGCCTAGCGCTCTCCACGCATGTCTGGTGTGCCTTTGGCGTGTCCATTCATGCGTCGAGCTCCGCGCACACTTTTGAGCATGCTAAAAACCGACGCACACAGCGAATGACGACGAATGCATAGCGCTGGTCCAGCGTTGGTCCAGCGCGCTCGACGAACGAGTAACGAATGATGACGCACGCCTAGCGAACGACAACGCACTGGCCCAAATTGCAAATTTCCAATGCGCTGGGCGTGCGTCCCCCATGCGTCCCCTCTGTGTGACCGGGCCTTTACACAAATGCTCCAGATCTCGTTCATCTTGTGACATCATCTGTCAATCATTAGTGAGCTGACAAGAGAAAGTGATATGTAGTTTCAACAGAGCTGACCACCTGTTTAATACAATAGACCATACAATGCCAACATAGGAGTTGCTATCTTAAACGTGCGCCAGAAAAGAAAGGTAATGTGGAGGTACTGTATGAAAGAATGCAATTCTTTTGTGAGCATGGGCTGAGCTGGGGGAGGTTTCTTACCACTGTTTCTTGTTAGCTCACTAATGATTGACATATGATGTTACAAGATGAATGAAATCTGGAGATTTCTTTAGGGTGGAGCTTAGCAGGTCTGTGAATTTTTTTTGTTTTAAATATTAAAAATCTATTAAATTAATTGTTAGATGTTTGAATAACATAGTATACGTTGTATACAGCCCTTTATATCACATGATTCAACTTATATTTGGATGTCACCCGGCCTTTATACCATTGGTGTCACACTTGATCAAAGATAACTAAAACGTTCCATTATCGCAGAATGCAGATGCGGGTTATTGTCATTTTGTCATGTTGGTGGAGGAGAGTTTGGCGAAGGAAAACAAAAATTCCTGTTTGAAATTGAAAACGTACCGACGGATCACAAAATATATTCAGAATTGTAACACCCTCTTGGAAAACAAATTTATTAATAAATTATCCAATTCTAATGTAGAATATTCTCAAACTTTTACACAAAATATTATTTCACAAATAAAACTGCAATGCAAAACTTCTAACAGTCTTAATACATTTTGCAAATAAATTGCATAATTTATTCAGATACAAGCATTCATGTGATTTCTGATATGTTATCTAAAGACTTCTTAATCAGAAATATAACATGAACCGTGAAACGCATGAAACTCACCGGGTGTCTCTACGGTCGTTAGCATGGCTTTGAAACCTGTGAAGTCGTAGAAATAGCTATACCAATTATCACTAGTAAAGCGAATCCAGAGGTAAGCTCCAACCGTGGTGATATCCCTTGGAAGAGATCGTCCAGAAAGAGTGTCCCTGGGATCTGAAGACCGGTACACTGATTTCTTTCCGTCGTAGACATATACGAAATCTCTGTCATACTCTGTATTGAATTCGGTGAAGTGAACCATAATGCGATATCCCGAAGGAGCCCTCACATGCCACACAATGTCAATGTTGTTGTCATAGAGGGATGGAAAGTTTGGTGACGTGAGGATTTGTGTCTCATTTGTCTGTAAATTGATAACTGTAACAAAATCAAACATAATATATTTAACTTATGCAAAGTTATCAGCTTCATATTTTCACACTAATACAATCATGCCATGGTAATCCGACTCGAACAATGTTTTTTCTTTATCTAATATTATAAGAGGGTGATGATGTCACCTTGCTATGCCTTGCAATATAGAATTCAATTTGATTCGAAAAACTGAATAAAACGACTTTGATTACTTTTTTCTCATACATGTACCCGTCTTCACCAAGTATAATATATCTATATATATAGGCCTATATAAAGGTGCGATAATTCATAACTCTGACATGACAACGGGTGTTCCAGAAAATGTAGGCGTGAAGAAAATATATTTTATTTTATTTTCCAGATGGATAGTTCATACACATTATGCTCTTTAATAATATGTCCATTTATATTGCGCAGCTACTACATATAGGCCTCTATACTCTACTTCGCCTAATACAAAATATCAGATTATTACTCAGGCTGTAGCTGAGCCGCCATGATAAGGGGCTAAAAAAACATTCAAGGATATTCTCCTACCAGGTGCCCATTTACTCGTTTTGAAATCTTTTCTCCTAATTTGTCTTTTTTTTAACAAAGCATAAAGCGAAGCATATTTCAATAAGCGTGATTTAAAAGTATTAGTAATTGCCTGCTATTGAATCTTATTGCACATTATCATTTCCCCTAAATTATAGGTACGCAAGAAGAGAAATGAGATCTTTAATAAACTCACCGGGTATCACCGCATAAAGTAGGGCCCGAAAACCTGTAAACACATACATGCTATTGCTCGTGAATTGAATCCACAGATGTGATCCGGCTGACGTAATATTTTCTGGGATAGATTGTCCAAATACAGACGCCACCCATGTTGACCTTGAGTAATTCGAAGTCCACCCATCGCACAAAATTACAGTGTCGTAACTCTCCTCGGTTGAGAAATTGATAAAACGAAGTAAAACTCGGTATCCTGCAGGAGCTCTCACATACCATATGGTGTCGATATTATTCTCATATACCTCAGGATAGTTTGGTGAGGTAAGAACTTCTGTCCCTTCCGTAGTCAAAGTTATAGCTGCATCATAAAAATATACAAAACTGTATTATTGATGATTACTGGGGAAACTGCGAACTTGCGTTAATAGTATTGCGAGGCATCTACGTGTTAAAGAAAGCAATAATGTCAAACAAACAGTTGAATTTACGAAGTCAATTACCCGACGCTGCTTGAATTATGCTACTACCCGCTGTAGTAAGCTTTTTATATCAGTTTTAATCCTTATATTAATAGTATCAATATTTTTCTTGATATAATTTTCATTATGATTATTGCTATTGTGAGAAATTTTAATGTTGTTAGTATTATTACCGTTATCAATATCACTTTAAATGTTATCTTTATTGCAATGACAAAAATCGTCATTGCCTTGTTATCATTATGATGATTTTAAATATTTTTAGTAATATGCCTAACAGAAGTGGTAGTAATATTAGTACTTTTGACTCTATTTATGTTTTACTAGGTTCCATATTTTTCAGAAACAATTATATGTTTTTCTTTGATAAAATGTTAGATTATCAAGTGGCTCCAATTTTCATAATAATACGCAGAATCACATTGAATTTTTTTGCTTGATCTTCTTTGGACTGATTTATTTTTACAATAGCCTTATTTTGTGGGTAGTCGTAATCTCATACACTCAACTTGGTAAACACATATCTCACCTTGTACAGCACTTAGCAAGGCCCGGAATCCTCTACATTGATTCCAGTTAATATCGTTATCACTGGTAAATCGAACCCAAATATAGGATCCTTGTGATATAACCGTTACGTTGGTTGGGATAGACCATCCAGACAGAGACGCCCTCAAAGTTGACCTCGAGTAATTTGATGTCCATCCTTCGTGTACCGCTACGACGTCGGTATTTTCCTCGGTGGAAAAATCGGTAAAACGAATCCTGACTCTGTATCCTACGGGAGCGACTACTTGCCACATTGCGTCGATATTGTTGTCGTATGCATTGGGATAGTTGGGCGAAGTGAGAATTTCCGTTCCTTCCGTGTTCAAAATTATAGCTGCAATATCAAAGGATTTGGATGAAAGTATAATTATTTACATTTGTGTTAAAATATAACCAAAGGTAAACTAATTAGACTAGATTAGGTAGAGAATTAGAGAATGTTATTGGGTGAAATCCTGGGATATATCGAATGAAAATTTGATGAAATGATGATATATAACTCACTTTCTAAAAAAGGCTAACATTTGAAACATCTATAACAAAATAGAGAGTGTGATAGATACTTATTTTTTTCTGTTACAATGGATAGTACGATTGTTATAAAATCACGATGATTAGGTTATGGGATTTTTTTTGTTGGTATTGTTAATCAGTATAATGGGCGTAATTATGTCATTTTCACACTAGTCAGATTACCATCTGATTCTGTTTCCCTTTTACTACAACCCAAGTTTAGTCTGACATTGAATAATTGAAGGCGAATAAAGAGAGGGCACTAATCCGCTTTGATATATGTGATGTGTTTTCCCTACATCATCGACTGGTTAACCATAAATCTCTCACATTCGTTTACGTAGAAATGCCACGTAAATGAACACGCATCCTTTTGTCCAAGTATTAAAGTCGCACTTGAAATCGAGTTAAAACTTTAGATTTATTTTTATAATCGCCATAAATTATGTTGTGGGTAGTTGTAATCTCATACACTCAACTTGGTAAACATATATCTCACCTCGTACAGCACTAAGCAAGGCCCGAAATCCTCTATATTGATTCCAGTTCATGTTATCACTGGTAAATCGAACCCAAAGATACGATCCTTGTGATATAACGTTGGTTGGGATAGACAATCCAGACAGAGACGTCCTCAAGGTTGACCTCGAGTAATTTGATGTCAATCCTTCGTGTACAGCTACAACGTCGTCTTTCTCCTCGGTGGAAAAATCGGTAAAATGAATCCTGACTCTGTATCCTACGGGAGCGACTACTTGCCACATTGCGTCGATATTATTGCCGTATGCATTGGGATAGTTGGGCGAAGTAAGAATTTCCGTTCCTTCCGTGTTCAAAGTTATAGCTGTATAACATCAAGGGATTTGGATGAAAGTATAATTATTTACAATTGTGTTAAAATATAACCCAAGGTAAACAAATTAGATAAGATTAGGTAGACAATTAGGGAATGTTATTGGGTGAAATCCTGGAATATATCGAATGAAAATTTGATGAAATGATGATATATAACTCACTTTCTAAAAAAGGCTAACATTTGAAACATCTATAACAAAATAGAGAGTGTGATAGATACTTATTTTTTTCTGTTACAATGGATAGTACGATTGTTATAAAATCACGATGATTAGGTTATGGGATTTTTTTTGTTGGTATTGTTAATCAGTATAATGGGCGTAATTATGTCATTTTCACACTAGTCAGATTACCATCTGATTCTGTTTCCCTTTTACTACAACCCAAGTTTAGTCTGACATTGAATAATTGAAGGCGAATAAAGAGAGGGCACTAATCCGCTTTGATATATGTGATGTGTTTTCCCTACATCATCGACTGGTTAACCATAAATCTCTCACATTCGTTTACGTAGAAATGCCACGTAAATGAACACGCATCCTTTTGTCCAAGTATTAAAGTCGCACTTGAAATCGAGTTAAAACTTTAGATTTATTTTTATAATCGCCATAAATTATGTTGTGGGTAGTTGTAATCTCATACACTCAACTTGGTAAACATATATCTCACCTCGTACAGCACTTAGCAAGGCCCGAAATCCTCTATATTGATTCCAGTTCATGTTATCACTGGTAAATCGAACCCAAAGATACGATCCTTGTGATATAACGTTGGTTGGGATAGACAATCCAGACATAGACGTCCTCAAGGTTGACCTCGAGTAATTTGATGTCAATCCTTCGTGTACAGCTACAACGTCGTCTTTCTCCTCGGTGGAAAAATCGGTAAAACGAATCCTAACTCTGTATCCTACGGGAGCGACTACTTGCCACATTGCGTCTATATTATTGCCGTATGCATTGGGATAGTTGGGCGAAGTAAGAATTTCCGTTCCTTCCGTGTTCAAAGTTATAGCTGTATAACATCAAGGGATTTGGATGAAAGTATAATTATTTACAATTGTGTTAAAATATAACCCAAGGTAAACAAATTAGATTAGATTAGGTAGACAATTAGGGAATGTTATTGGGTGAAATCCTGGAATATATCGAATGAAAATTTGATGAAATGATGATATATGACTCACTTTCTAAAAAAGGCTAACATTTGAAACATCTATAACAAAATAGAAAGTGTGATAGATACTTATTTTTTTCTGCTACAATGGATAGTACGATTGTTATAAAATCACGATGATTAGGTTATGGGATTTCTTTGTCGGTATTGGTAATCAGTACAATGGGCGTAATTATGTCATTTTCACACTAGTCGGGTTACCATCTGATTCTGTTTCCCTTTTACTACAACCCAAGTTTAGTCTGACATTGAATAATTGAAGGCGAATAAAGAGAGGGCACTAATCCGCTTTGATATATGTGATGTGTTTTCCCTACATCATCGACTGGTTAACCATAAATCTCTCACATTCGTTTACGTAGAAATGCCACGTAAATGAACACGCATCCTTTTGTCCAAGTATTAAAGTCGCACTTGAAATCGAGTTAAAACTTTAGATTTATTTTTATAATCGCCATAAATTATGTTGTGGGTAGTAAGCGGTCATTTTTTTTTTTTTTTGGTCTCGAAATCTGAAAACTTGACATTTTTCTTCGTTGGGAGGGGGAGGGGGTAAGGTCACCTGTTTTAGGTTAGCCGTGGGCATATTTTTTTTTTTTTTTTAATTTTTTTTAATAATAATTAAAAAAAAAAAAAAAATAATCCAAAGGGGGGAGGGGGGGGGGGGGGGGGTTAGGTTTTTTAAGGGGGGGGGTTTACACACATAAAAATACCAAAGGGGGGGGGGGGGGGGGGTTTGAACCTCCAACCCCCCCCCCCCCCCCCCCCCCCCCTGCGTACGCCCCTGAGTGAGTCCCTTCGTCAGTTTTTCATTAGGCATTTCTGGTCAGTAACACTGATAGATAGGAAATTGGAGGATGTTGCACATTGGATTTATTAGAAGTATGCAAAAGGAAAGAAAGAAGGAAAGAAAGGAAGGAGGCCAGAAGGAAGAACAAAATAGAGAAAACCAGATCACAGCGGGGACCATTTCCTGACACTGGGCTTTGGTATACTTCGGGCACAATACGTTTAGTTAGCCTGACATAACATTTAAGGCAAATCAAGAGTGGGCATTAATCGGCTTTGATATTTCTGATGTTTTATCCCTACACCATAACCCATAAACCTCTCCCACTCCTTTATGTAGAAATGCCATTTACGTTTATATTCATCCCTGCAACATTATGTTAAAGTCGCACGCAAAAAGTAAAACTGAGGATTTACTAATTTCGTTTTATATTATGTAGAGTGAGTGCCTTCGTCAGTTTTCCGTTTGGCACATCGGATGTAAAATTGACAGTAATGATATTGAAGAATGTTAAAGAAAGAGAGAACGGAAAAAGAGGAAAAACAAACAAAGAAATAATTAAAAGAAAAACAGAGCACAGCGGCGATCATTTACTGACACTTGGCTTTGGTATACCGTTGGCACATTACGATTTGATGTTTAACAGAATCTTAGCATTAAATAACTCACTTCGTAACTCAGCACTTAGTCGAGCCCGGAAGCCTCTATACCTAGTCCAATAATCACTGGTAAAGTTAACCCAGAGATATGATCCTTGTGATATGATAGCGGCTTGAACAGAGCTTCCGGATAGAGATGCCCTCTGCGTTGATCTTAAGAAGTCCGATGTCCATCCATCGCGCACGGTAACAATGTCATTCTTCTTCTCAGTTTTAAAATCGACGAAACGAAGAATTACTTGATAGGCTTGAGGGACTTTTACTAGCCATCCCACGTCGGCGTTTCGGGGGTAATAGGACGGATAGTTAGGAGACTGAATAAATGTCTGCTCCCCAACCTGCAAGTCGATAGCTGTAAAAAAAGAACAACAAAAGAAGATATAAATAATAACTGGGCTGTCTAGCAGTGTTGTGTTCGAGTTCACAACATCTGAATCCGAGTCCGGGTCTGAGCTTAGCAATACCGAGTCCAAGTCCGCTTGGACTCACGTCACGTCACCCAACACTGTTGCATACACTTGCACGAATGTCAACAAGATTATACCCTTTTGCATAAAAAAGTGCGTTTAATCGCAACTTAAACAATTAAAAGCAATTCCCAAATACGCGATATTGATTCGTTGAAAATCAAATTGGGCTTTATTTTTGAGTTGCGTGTAAACGCTACTTTTTCGCAACCTTTTGTGAAAACATTCCCTTCATTCAAGGTTTATTCAAAATGTCCGGGGTAATGCACGTGCAATAAATTCCTCTCATCTACAAACGTTCTAGTCCAATTTACCCGACACTTTGTGACAACACTACACCAAATCTACAAAAGGCCGCATCCTCTTCCGCTTTCGGGTAACGCGACAACCCGACCGTACGCGATGACGCGATGATTCAAAATAAGCTATATATTTATTAAAAGCAAAATGGCCCTATTAGATCTACCTATGATTTCACATTTGACTTGATCAAAAATAAATGATACAACGAACTATTCTTCTACATGTAATAATGTGGACGGCACATTAGCTCACTATATTTTTTCCCTCGCACTCCAGATCGCCCCTTTTTAATTATGAAAAATCCCCCTTTTCATGAATTTTTAATAAGTCCCCTTTGATCAATTCTGATAACCTGTTCACTAAGTGCAAAATTATATACTTCAATGTATTACATAACTATGCTATGCGAATCTCCTTTTGAAATTATACATAATAAATAACATAGTAATGCGTTTTGATTGATGAACATTTATTAGAATATTTCCCCAAAATAACTTTTCTTAAAATGTGGCTAGGAAATGTCAACCACATGTCTAAATATCATGTTCCCAAATAATACTATGACTTCATGGTAAAACATTATACTCCTATAATAACATATTGACGGAGCAGAGAATACGACTTACTTATCTCTTGCCTGGCATGTGCAAATGGATTGCTCACACATGTTGACAGAATAACTGCACAAACAAAAGTGAATATTCCGGTCATATTCGTCTTGGTTAAATCCATGTGTTGGTTAGGAGCCTCTTTATCTTGTAGATTTATTCAAAATCCAATCGTCAATCTCAAAAGTTGACCTGACGGTAGGAATGCCGAGTTCAATGTCAACATAAACACGATCGAGAAGGAATCTCCAAACTGTTCGTTTCTAATACGTCCAGTTGCCTTGAAAATTTACTTCTTAACTTCCTCTTCAGCTGTACCTTTTTGTATATAGGCCTATCGTACTGAAATTTTCCTTACAAGGAAATGCTTTCTCTGTGCAAAATGACATATTCATATTCACGTTTGAAGTGTTTCCGGTACTATAATTGAGCTTTTATTGTCATTTGAAATGTTTAGGTTCCTGGTATGTGGTATGTTCCAGATATCCCTTGATAACGTTGTCGTTTGATCATGTGCATCCCTTTCACTGCACTAATCACAACCACGGAATTCATATGAAAACAGGGTAAAAAAGATATTAGAAAAATCAACTTTCAATTCAATGTTGTAAACAAATTAGCAATCATATCTGGATTACGAAATACGTCATTGTTACGTTCTCACATTGTTCAGATGAGAGATAGTGGTACTAAGGCAGTGATTTCAATGCTAGATGTACAATCAAAGATAATCTGAACATTTGAGCGAAAACGGATCATTATTCATGGTACAAGTTGGGGAAAACTGATCCGATCGATTCCTTAATTCTCCCAACTATATTTTTACAATTTAATTACATCTTAGGTGAATGAAAATCTCACAAAGCAATAAAATGGCTCTACATTCCATTCCAGACATTTAAGTGTTGACAGATTTGTTATAGCCTGTTTTTATGTCTTTTTTTATGGAAAAACGGTTGGGAAAATTCAAAAAATGGTTGGGAGAATGTAGATTCAGAAGCGCCGCACATCGACACCCGTTCGAAAACCCGTTGAACTTCGGAATTTTCGGATTTGGGGCATCGTAGTTGGATAATCCATACATACAAACATAATTTTACGTGTTTTGCATCCTGATACAACAGATTTGTGAAATCAACCATCACAATTTTACTAAGTACCTTTAAAAGAAAAGGGACTAGGTTTTTGAACTTACATCGCGTTGATTTTTTTAAAGTCTTTTCGATCTTGTTTAAAGTAAACACATTTCACATACTTTACATATCATCATGATCACAAAATTGTGAATTGTATTCAATGGAATAGTAATACACTAAATAGAGATTTGAAACAAATCCAATAACAGGCGCGGATCCAGGATTTTCCAATAGGGGGGGGGGGGGGGCCGGAAATTTGAAAATTGCGCAGACCGTTTTTCAAATCAACATACCAATACTGACAAGGTCATATTAGAAGCACCATACCGGTAATTTTTTTTGACATTTTCATGGGGGGGGGGGGGGGGGCTGAAGCCTCTTGCCCGAAAAAGTAATTTTCTGGTTTCACAATCGGCTAGTGAGCGAAGCGAGCGAGCAAAAATTTGAGGATAATATGTATTTTTTGAAAGTGTTATTTATCACCAAAATATACGAGAAAAGATATAACAAATTCATATTCGGGTAGCTCGCTGTCCCCCCCCCCCCTATTACGCGCGAAGCGCAGAAGCTTTAATGTTTCATGAAATTATTAGAGAAGAAGAGGATTCGTTGTACCATTCTCGACTCCTAATCCTTGTTTTAATTTAGTTTTCCCTCCGCTCTCCCCCCTCCCTCCCGCGCGAAGCGCGGAAGTTTTGACCTTTCATTAAATGATATTAGAGAAAGAAGACGATTTGTTGTACCATTCTCGACTCTTATTCTTTGTCTAAAATTCAGTTTTCCCCCTCCCACGCGAAGTGCTGAAGCATTGACCTTTCATAGTTTAATGAAATTATTAGAGAAAGAAGATAATTCGTTGTTCCATTCTCGACCCTCAATCCTTTTCTGAATTCAGATTCCCCCCTCCAGCGCAAAGCGCAGAAGCTTAAAGTTTCATTAAATTATTAGAGAAAGAAGACGATTCGTTGTACCGTTCTCGATTCTTAATAATTGTCTGAATTCAGTTTCCATACCCCCTCCCGCATGAAGCGCGGAAACTTTGACGTTTCATTAAATCATTAGAGAAAGAGTACCATTCTCGACTCTTAATCCTTGTCTGAATTGAGTCCTCCCCCCCCCCCCCCTTTCTCGCGCTAAGCGCGGAAGCTTTGACGTTTCAATAAATTATTAGAGAAAGAAGACGATTTGTTGTTCCATTCTCGGTTCTTAAGCATTGTCTGAATTCAGTTTCCCTCCTTCGCGCAAAGCGCGGAAGCTTTGACGTTTCATTGAATTATAAGAGAAAGAAGATGATTTGTTGTACCATTCTCGACTCTTATTCCTTGTCTGAATTCAATTTTCCCCCTCCCGCGCGAAGCGCGGAAGCTTTGACCTTTCATTAATTGATATTAGAGAAAGAAGACGATTTGTTGTACCATTCTCGACTCTTATTCCTTGTCTGAATTCAGTTTTCCCCCTCCCACGCGAAGTGCTGAAGCATTGACCTTTCATAGTTTAATGAAATTATTAGAGAAAGAAGACGATTCGTTGTACCGTTCTCGATTCTTAATCATTGTCTGAATTCAGTTACTATACCCCCTCCCGCGCGAAGCGCGGAAGCTTTGAAGTTTCATTAAATCATTAGAGAAAGAGTACCGTTCTCGACTCTTAATCCTTGTCTGAATTGTGCCCCCCTCTCCCGCGCGAAGCGCAGAAGCTTTGACGTTTCTTAAAATTATTAGAGAATGAAGACGATTCGTTGAACCGTTCTCGATTCTTGATCATTGTCTGAATTCATTTTCCATACCCCTCCCGCGCGAAGCGCGGAAGCTTTGACGTTTCATTAAATCATTGGAGAAAGAGTACCGTTCTCGACTCTTAATCCTTGTCTGACTTGAGTCCCCCCTCTCTCGCGCGAATCGCAGAAGCTTTGACGTTTCATTGAATTATTTGAGAAAGAAGATGATTTGTTGTACCATTCTCGACTCTTAATCCTTGTCTGAATTCAGTTTTCCCCCTCCCACGCGAAGTGCTGAAGCATTGACCTTTCATAGTTTAATGAAATTATTAGAGAAAGAAGATAATTCGTTGTTCCATTCTCGACCCTCAATCCTTTTCTGAATTCAGATTCCCCCCTCCAGCGCAAAGCGCAGAAGCTTAAAGTTTCATTAAATTATTAGAGAAAGAAGACGATTCGTTGTACCGTTCTCGATTCTTAATAATTGTCTGAATTCAGTTTCCATACCCCCTCCCGCATGAAGCGCGGAAACTTTGACGTTTGATTAAATCATTAGAGAAAGAGTACCGTTCTCGACTCTTAATCCTTGTCTGAATTGAGTCCTCCCCCTCTCTCGCGCTAAGCGCGGAAGCTTTGACGTTTCAATAAATTATTAGAGAAAGAAGACGATTCGTTGTTCCGTTCTCGGTTCTTAAGCATTGTCTGAATTCAGTTTCCCTCCTTCGCGCAAAGCGCGGAAGCTTTGACGTTTCATTGAATTATTAGAGAAAGAAGATGATTTGTTGTACCATTCTCGACTCTTATTCCATGTCTGAATTCAATTTTCCCCCTCCCGCGCGAAGCGCGGAAGCTTTGACCTTTCATAGTTTAATGAAATTATTAGAGAAAGAAGATAATTCGTTGTTCCATTCTCGACCCTCAATCCTTCTCTGAATTCAGATTCCCCCCTCCAGCGCAAAGCGCAGAAGCTCAACGTTTCATTAATTTATTAGAGAAAGAAGACGATTCGTTGTACCGTTCTCGATTCTTAATCATTGTCTGAATTCAGTTACTATACCCCCTCCCGCGCGAAGCGCGGAAGCTTTGAAGTTTCATTAAATCATTAGAGAAAGAGTACCGTTCTCGACTCTTAATCCTTGTCTGAATTGTGCCCCCTCTCCCGCGCGAAGCGCAGAAGCTTTGACATTTCTTAAAATTATTAGAGAATGAAGACGATTCGTTGAACCGTTCTCGATTCTTGATCATTGTCTGAATTCATTTTCCATACCCCTCCCGCGCGAAGCGCGGAAGCTTTGACGTTTCATTAAATCATTGGAGAAAGAGTACCGTTCTCGACTCTTAATCCTTGTCTGACTTGAGTCCCCCCTCTCTCGCGCGAATCGCAGAAGCTTTGACGTTTCATTGAATTATTTGAGAAAGAAGATGATTTGTTGTACCATTCTCGACTCTTAATCCTTGTCTGAATTCAGTTTTCCCCCTCCCACGCGAAGTGCTGAAGCATTGACCTTTCATAGTTTATTGAAATTATTAGAGAAAGAAGATAATTTGTTGTTCCATTCTCGACCCTCAATCCTTTTCTGAATTCAGATTCCCCCCTCCAGCGCAAAGCGCAGAAGCTTAAAGTTTCATTAAATTATTAGAGAAAGAAGACGATTCGTTGTACCGTTCTCGATTCTTAATAATTGTCTGAATTCAGTTTCCATACCCCCTCCCGCATGAAGCGCGGAAACTTTGACGTTTGATTAAATCATTAGAGAAAGAGTACCGTTCTCGACTCTTAATCCTTGTCTGAATTGAGTCCTCCCCCCTCTCTCGCGCTAAGCGCGGAAGCTTTGACGTTTCAATAAATTATTAGAGAAAGAAGACGATTCGTTGTTCCGTTCTCGGTTCTTAAGCATTGTCTGAATTCAGTTTCCCTCCTTCGCGCAAAGCGCGGAAGCTTTGACGTTTCATTGAATTATTAGAGAAAGAAGATGATTTGTTGTACCATTCTCGACTCTTATTCCATGTCTGAATTCAATTTTCCCCCTCCCGCGCGAAGCGCGGAAGCTTTGACCTTTCATAGTTTAATGAAATTATTAGAGAAAGAAGATAATTCGTTGTTCCATTCTCGACCCTCAATCCTTCTCTGAATTCAGATTCCCCCCTCCAGCGCAAAGCGCAGAAGCTCAACGTTTCATTAATTTATTAGAGAAAGAAGACGATT